ATCTTTTTGAAAACACCTTTTTGTTTGACAGGTATTACAAAAACTAAAGGACATTTTATATAGACACTATTTTTTTTTTTTTTTTTTTAATCACACAGGTTTTCTTTTGAAGCAACCATAACCAAAATCTTGGATAACATAATTTAAGGAATACACAAACCTGTAACTAGTGTTTATCTCATTATTTCTCATGGTTTATTTGCTGAGATAATTATATAACTCAGGATAAAGTTTGATAGTCTTTTTATAACCTGCATACCTTTTTATAGATTAAACCATAAAAATAAAAACTAATGGAGTATATTAGGCAGATGGAGTTTGCTTGTTAGTTGTTTTTGTTTTTTACTCCCTTTAAATACTGCCACCAAATCCGTTAGTTAAAGCATATTTTTTAAAATCGTTACCTTGGCTTCAGATAGAAAAAGCTCTTTACCTTTGTAAAAATGCTGAGTGCCTCTGAGCTTAATCTGTTTTATAATTTTCATCTGCAATTTCTAAAACAAAAGTGTCAAATATATACATTGTAGAGTAGAAAAAAGTCCTCCAAGCTAGAAATTCCAGTCCTACGAAATAAGAAGGAGCTGATGAGTGCCTAAACTTGTGTAGTTCTTGCCATAAGTGCTGCGTATAGATCTCCCATCTATTCCTTATTCTTGCTCCTCAGTGTGCCCACTGTTACTTGAACACTTATTTATGTGCATACATTGTGCTAAGGACTGTGGGAGTCTTATATGAGTATAAGACCTTCTGGTGATTAGTTTTCTCTAGGTCTAGAGAAGGCCCTTGATTTCCCTGTAGCCTATCGTGTAAGACCCCTCCTTATTTTGAGAATTTACAGAATAACCTCTGTGTGGGGGTAAGTTTGCTAAAGGTTGTCTGAACACAAAAATGGACAAGATGGCCCACAAATTCTAAATGGGGACAACAGAACATTCAAACAATTGGCAGCAGTGCCCAGGAGAATAAAATGGCGGTAGCAGAGGAGAGGACGTTGGTTTAAACAGAGAAGTCAGGGACCAGCTCATGTGGAACTGGGCCTTAGAAGATGATGAAAGTTGTAGCAGGCCTGGGAGGCCTTGTTCAGCTAAGTTAAAGCAAAGTCAAGGTGGTCTTTGCAGGTTTGTGAGACGGAAGTGTTGGGTGGAGCTATGGTTCATAGAGCAAGTGGTGGATGGTGAAGTTGGAAGGGAGACCATAGGAGCAAGGGCACAGTATGCATGGCTCATAGTAAATTAACAACACAGATCAAAACAGCGTATTTTTCCAGATTTCAGGGGATGACATTCTTTCAACTCCTTTATCCAGTTCTGTAAAATACTGTATTTAGACAGTGTCATATCTTAATCTCAAGGCTCATCTTTATTTCAGACATGTTAGGTGTGTGTTGTTGTTTGCCATCGAGTCAGACCCAACTCATAGCGACCCTTCCTTGGGTTTCCGAGGCAGTATCCCTACAGAAGTGGATTGCCCCATCTTCCTTCCGAGGAGTAGCGGGTGGATTTGAACCACCAGCCTTCTGGTTAGCAGTCAAGTGCCTTAGGCACCATGCTACCAGAGATCTTCAGACATGTTATGGCAACTAGTAATTCACGAAGAGGACCCTTGGATGTGCACCAGTTAAGCACTTGGCTGTTATCCAGAGGTTGGTGGTTTGAACCTTCCCAGCAGCTCCATGAGAGAAAGATCTGGTGATCTGTTCCCATAAAGATTACCAGAATCCCATGCTGCCAAGTCAATTCTGACTCATGGTGGCCATAGAGGACAGAGTAGAACTGCCCCATAAGGTTACCAAAGCTCTATATCTTTGGAAATGGAAGCAGACTGCCTCATCTTTCTCCCATGGAGCAGCTCATAGGTTCAAATGGCCCATCCTCTCTGTTAGCAACTGAGCACTTAACTACTGTGCCACTAGCTGTCC